CAAGGAAGTAAAAGAGTGATTTCTACATCAAAAATCAAGAAAATAACTGCAATTAAAAAGAATCGTAAAGGAAAAGGAAGCCGTGCTGAGCCTTTAGGATCAAATCCACACTCAAATGGCGAATTTTTTTCTCGATCTGTAACAAGTTTTTTTGACAAAATCGAGGCAAGGATTATAACTACAGATCTAATTACAAAAGTTGTTGAAACTACAATAAATATAATGAAAATTAATTTTTCTAGAAATTCTAGACTTTTTGGTTGGAAGCCAAATATACTTGTTATATTAAAAAATTAATTAACCTCCTCATCAATAGATAAAGATATATAAAAATAATCATACAACATCTACAAAGTGTCAGTATCAAGCAGCTGCTTCAAAACCATAATGATGGTCTGAAGAAAAGTGACATTTATAAAGTCGGTAGAAGCAAACAGTTAAAAAGGAAGTCCCAATGATAACATGAAGCCCATGGAAACCAGTTGCTACAAAAAAAGTAGATCCATAGACAGAGTTGCAATTGTAAAAGAAGCTTCTACATATTCGAAAGCTTGAAGAGCTGAAAAATATAATCCTAAAAAAATAGTTAAAGCAAGACTTTGAATTGCTTCCGAGTGATTTGACCTTGTAATAGCATGATGTGCTCATGTTACGGTAGCCCCAGACGACAAAAGAATAGTTGTGTTTAAAAGCGGAATTTGGAAAGGATTAAAAGGTTGGATACCAACTGGTGGCCAACATATCCCAATTTCAATTGTTGAAGAAAGTCTCCCATGAAAAAATGCCCCAAAAAAGAAAAAAAGAACAACACTTCTGACACAATAAAAAGAATTATCCCCCAACGAAGCCCTTTTATTACAACTTGGGTGTGGAGTCCCTGGTGGGTCCCCTCACGTGTTACATCTCGTCATCATTGAATTATTGTTAAAATAGTAGCTAAAAATCTTAGCAGGAGCAAGTCTGTTAAATTGGTGGACTCATTTAACAAGCCCTGTGGTTAGTATTATGGCTCTCACTGACCCTGTTAAAGGTCAGGGTCTTATATCAACTAAGTGGTAAGCGTGGTGTCCGTGTGATGATGACATTAGTTAACTTCTCTGGCATATAAAGTCCTTAGGACAGCAAATGCATACGATTGAATTATTGCAACAGCAGATTCTAGTATTAAAAGAAGGATATGAGCTAACATTAAAAATGACACTAAAGTCAAAGACAAAGAAGGGCCCATATTGCCTAAAAGTGTCAACAAAAGATGCCCTGCAATTATGTTAGCTGTTAGTCGAACGGCTAAAGTTCCTGGTCGAATAATATTTCTTAAAGTTTCTACTAACACTATAAATGGTATCAGAAGCCCTGGCGTCCCTTGGGGAACTATATGAGCAAGCATGTGTTGGGTATGGTTGATTCAACCAAATAAAATAAAAGTTAGTCACAAAGGTAAAGCAAGCGTAAGAGTTATCACAAGGTGTCTTGATCTAGTAAATACATACGGGAGAAGCCCGAGAGTGTTATTAAATATAATAAATCTAAATAAAGAAATGAATAAAATAGTTGAACCTTTAGTGGCTTGCCCTAAAATTGCTTGAAATTCATTGTGAAGAAGTTGTATAATTTTGGACCAAACTAGTGCTCAACGTGAAGGAGCCGCTCAATAAAGGTAAGGAATAAAAAGTAACCCAACAAAAGTTGATAATCAATTGATTGATAATGAAAAGATTCTTGAAGAAGGTTCAAAAATAGAAAATAGTCTTGTTATCATTTTCAGGTTTTTTGGTGTTGAGCTTTTAGTTCAATTGAAGGGGACATTTTAAGCGGGGATTTTATAAAATAGTTTAAAATAAAAAACAAAAGAAACCCAATGAGAAATATAAAAAATAGATTTAACCATAAAAGAGGTGCTATTTGAGGCATCAAAAAGTGTTCCAGTGGAATTACTTGAGCTTGACAAGCTCATATTATTAATTAACTAACTTTTTCCACCAGAAGTAGGCACCTCTACTATGATAGGTTTAAAAGACCTATACTTGCTTTCAGTCATCGGGTGATAGATCGGATGAGGAGGAGATTCAATTTAAAAAAGCTGAGACTGACACACTTTCTACTACAATTGGTATAACTCTATGGTTAGCCCCACAAATTTGTGAGCATTGCCCAAAAAATAATCCTGGTCGGTTAACCATAAATCTAATTTGGTTAAGACGGCCGGGAATTGCATCTGCTTTTACTCCCAGAGCTGGAACAGTTCAAGAGTGGCTAACATCAGCAGCGGTGACTAACATTCGAACTTGTGTGTTTATAGGTAATACAGTTCGGTTGTCTACGTCTAAAAGTCGAAATCCAGATAAATCTAGTTCGTTAGATGGAGTCATATAGGAATCAAACTCTACTTGCAGAAAGTCTGAATATTCATACCTTCAATATCATTGGTGCCCAATTGTTTTAAGAGTGATTCTAGGGTTATTAACTTCATCTAGAAGATAAAGTAACCGAAGTGAAGGGAGAGCAATAAAAATAAGAATAATAGCAGGAAGGATTGTTCAAATTACTTCAATTGTTTGGTTTTCAAGGAGGAAACGATTAACAAAAGCATTGGGAAATATAGCGGCTATCATATAACCAACAAAAGTAGTAATTAAAATCAACACAACCATAGTATGATCATGGTAGAAAATAAGTTGCTCTATAAGGGGTGACGCGCTGTCTTGGAATCCTAGGTGACCTCATGTTGCCATTACTAAAAGGAAATAATTTTCCCTAACGGGAGCTTAAATCCTGCACATCTATCTGTCATTTTAGTAGTTAGTGATTATAGGGATTTCTATATAACTGTGGTCAGCTGGGGGATAAGCATGCTGTCATTCAATTGAAGTAGGTAAGAATAAAGAAAATATAACTGTTCGTTTAACTACCAAAGCTTCTCATACAATAATGATGAATCTAAGAACGGCTACAAGAGAAATTATTGATCCAATTGAAGATAGAACATTTCATGCGGTGAATGCGTCAGGATAGTCAGAGTATCGTCGTGGTATTCCATTTAATCCTAAGAAATGTTGTGGGAAGAAAGTGATATTTACTCCTGTAAATATAGTTAAACAGTGAATTTTTAATCATTTAGGATTTATAGATAAGCCCGTAAATAGAGGGAATCAGTGAGCAATTCCTGCAAAGATGCCAAAAACTGCACCTATAGATAG